ATCTGTATCTATCTATCTATCTGTATCTATCTATCTATCTGTATCTATCTATCTATCTGTATCTATCTATCTATCTATCTATCTATCTACCTATCTATCTATTTCTATCTATCTATCTGTATCTATCTATATCTATCTATCTGTATCTATCTATCTATCTGTATCTATCTATCTATCTGTATCTATCTATCTATCTGTATCTATCTATCTATCTATCTATCTATCTATCTATCTATCTCTCTCTCTCTCTCTCTCTCTCTCTCTCTCTCTCTCTCTCTCTCTCTCTCTCTCTCTCTCCTTCCATCTATCTATCTATCTATCCATGCAAATATACAGTATATATAAGTATATAGAGTGTAACATGTGAAAAATAATTAGAAACCATGGGTTTTAGCTCTGTTGGCTGGCTTGAAGTGCATGTTTGTGAATGAGAGGTATTGCTTAATAACAGAAGATAGGACAGGCGGTAAAGTTGCAATACATTCTTCCTCCTGTAGATACCCTCTGAGAAACAACTCCAGCCTTGTGTCTCAGTATATAAATGTTACATCTACAACCTAAAACGATATATTTTGCTAACTCAGTTTTAGTTATACCACAAATAATATAAAATATTAAGTAGGTGGAATTAAAAAAATATTTAAATAAATCTATTTCACCCCAATATAGATTAAAAAATCTATTTGAGGGTGAAATTTGGTCATCCTTTATTTTATCAGCAGACCAACAGTTTGTTTCGATCTGACTCCTAGCTCTTCACACACATAAATATGTAGACACATCTTTAGGAAGTTTCATAAGATTTCACACCCTCCAGTTTTACTGAGCTCCACTGAATGAGGAAATCCTTTCGGCACTGATGTTTTGTTTTAAGGCTGCTGGTGTCTCAGATGTGAGACAGACAGCAGGACACAGCAGCGAGACAAGGCTGCTGTCAAACATCTCTATTTGGACACAAACAAGTTGAAAAGGAATTGATTTTGTCTGTTTGGATGTTGTTTTCAGATGGAGTGAAGCTGTGAGGGAAGGACTCGTGTTTCATGTGGGTGTTTTGTTATGTGGCATGAGTCGTCGTGTGCAAACAGCACCCTTTCGGAGGATTAAAACAATAAAACTTCACTTCGCTTGCATGCAGCACAGAACACAGCGATGCTCATAGAACCCCTTCCCGTGCTGCAATATGTCAGAAATCTGAGACATTAGAAAGCAGAGTTGTGGCTTTTCTTTCTCGTGGGCCACATTGAAATCAGGATTAAAAAACTTACCTAAGTATTTTGTTTGTGTCACCACTTCTAGACACCTTCATTCTGAAATGGTACCACATGAACTGGTAGCTTAACTGTGTTGTGTTATAAGTTATTTTTTCATTAACTAGTTTTCTGTTCTCTCTTTCTCAGATTACGGCTGTTACTTTTTTCATTCTGGGTTGAATGCCCAAAAGCTCAAATAAAATCTCAACTGTGACCCTAGAAACAAAAATGTAGAACAGGAGCTTCAGAGAGAGGACAGGGAACTGTACACCATCTGTCACATTCCTCACATTCCTAAGCTCTTTGGTAAATAAGGTGATCCAGCTTGAAGTGCTGATAAGAACCCATTCAGAATATCGGGAATGCTGTTTAATGTGTTTTCACTGAGACGTGGATGCAGGATCAAAATTCCTGACTCCAACATCTCTGTCTGTTTTTTAGGCAACAGGAATCAACTGAGGTCTAAAGAGGAGTGGGAAAGCAGAGAGGATGGATAAGCAGATGTCATCCAGGACATGCTACTGTGATGTATTGTCTCTGCTGCAGAGCTGCTGGCTGGGAGGTATGGTCCATTAGAGACTTCTGTTTCGGTAGCAGCAGACATTCCACCATTAGCTGTTGCAGACTCTGCAAGTGAGCACATTAGCTCAGTTGTTGCTAAGCTACAGACACAACACCCCAATGCATTTATGGCAATATCTGGACCAGATACCTTTGTTTCTCCTTTCAACAGTTTGCCACCTAGCTTATGTGTAAATATATAGAATGGCTGTAGGAACTCATAGATCTGTCAGGCTTCTCCTCTGTTATAATGATTTGTATCAGACATCCTAAAGTTTGAGGAGTGCTATTAAACCAACAGATCCGTAGACTGAGTGAGTTCTGGCAGCAAGGAAATGTGAGGATTCAAAGAAGCCACCCGGTGAAAATGCTCCCTTTGTTTTCTGAGCAAATGCAATAAACCTGGGCGTGGAGGCCAATATTGGGTGGATGGAGAGATGGACTGAGGACTCAGCGTCTGCCGGTGTTGAAAGGGCGTGAAGACACGTGGAGATCGGGTTGTCTGATGTGAAACGATCCCGCTGCTTCCTGAATTTACTTTGGAATGTTCCTGGATCATTGGATCAGCCTTGGGTATCAGGATAAAGAAGCTGTTTCCAAAGAAAATGTTAAATAATAAAAATTTTCTTTTGTTTCCATTTCAGAAAATGTTTCATCCGGAGCATTGAGAGTTAGAAAAAGACAGTGACACACCACCTCCCACACAGCCGAGCCTCTGAAGGCTACAGACAGAAACAGCTCCATTGCTGTTGTGCACTCTCAGTGTTACTGAGAAATATTTAGTCGTTTTATTAAAGGCACACACAGACACATGGACAGCTGCATTAAAGCTGTTTTCACACAGAGTGACATGTAAATGTGCTGATTTAGACTTTTTTAACCTGTTATTTACTTTTCAAATTTTCATTAGTAAAGTTGTCCTTTGTAATGTGCATAAAAATTGTATGGGATGCTGATTGCAATGTAAATCATTCTGAAATTCACATCACATCATAATTAGAATGTATGTATATAAAGTTTAGGGCCTAAACATTTAACGTGTTAGTTTCACATTAACTAATTTAATTTTAAAGTCAACAAAATGTTTTATGGCACGTTAACACATTAATATTATTTTGGTTTAGAAAATCTGATTCTTGCTGGTATCAGCATCCAAACAACCCCTTGGTCACAGCAGGGTTGAACCCTTCACTTGTGGTTAGGATGAGCATCATCCTATTTGTACCAATGAGATTATCGTGGGGCTAAAACTGGTGCAATGCTCACGGAGACCAGAATTACAATAAATAAGGGAACGTGAGTGTTTTTACGTATTGTACACTCATGTAGGAGCTGAAAAACTTAATTCATAACCACTGCCATACCAAAAAAATTTTGCAGGTCATTAGAGGCACACATCACACATTGAGCAGAGGCTCCTCTGCTGGATTTAATTCACTGAGTGAAAGTGTATAGGATTTGTGTTGTTCCAACAACAACTCATGTTTGGCTTGCTTTGCTGTATATTAGCTCCGCTCCACATCTCAAACTAAACATTTTGACAGGTGGTGGTGAGGGTGGGGTCCTATGCAAATGTCCCATATTGTGACATCACAATAAGATAATTTTTTTAATGTCTCACATATAATTCCTGAAACCAAACACTAACAACAAAACAGATATATATATACATATATATATATATATATATATATATATATATATATATATATATATATATATATATATACATATATATATATATATATATATATATATGTATATATATGTATATATATATATATATATATATATATATATATATATATATATATATATGTGTGTATATATATATATATATATATATATATATATATATGTGTGTATATATATATATATATATATATATATATATATATATATATATATATATATATATATATATATATATTCATGTTTGCAGTGTTTATAGAGGCAATAGAGACCCAGCAGCAGAAAACGATGTAAAAAGTCAGATGTTCCTTTAAAAGTTACATTAAAAAAAAGAATAAAGTTAAAGTCCCATTAGTCGTCAAACACCAGTGAAATATTTTAAAACCCATGTGGTGAGCTGCAGCAGTGGTCGCATTTGCGATCATCTATGTGTATTATCACACATGCAGGTGAACCCTGGACTGAATCGTTTTGACAGTTGTTCCTATCAAAGGTCCTCTGAGACCTTAAATAAGGGATATCTTCACTCTGCTTTTATTTTGGTAGGCTACTTCCAGTTTAGGCTAAATTGTTGCTTTGTAGCTGCCACATTTATATATTAATTAATTTATTTGTTTGTTTGTTTGTTTTACGTGTGGAGATCCAATTCTAAATGTGTATTTTTAGCATTATCTTTTGAATATGTGAGTACACTTTTCAATGGGAAAAGTGACTTTCTATTGTTTTGAGTGTCCCAACATTTAAAGTTCCGGCCTGATTGTGATCAGAACTCACATTTTCAAACCTCTCTGAACGTTTAAGAAGAAGAAGAAGTCTCCCCTTCCTTCCTTCCTTCCTTCCTTGTCCCAGCAGTTCGTGTTTGTTTGTACTCTCTCCATCCGGAGCAGAAATTCCTCTCCGTTTTTGTGAATGACAAACTCATTACCAATTCATCAAAGCTCGCCGCTTTCATCCGGCCCCCATTTCCATGGCGACCGCCACTGTCTCCGCTCTCATTGGTCAGCCGACGCAGCGTATCCAATGAAACGCCTCCCGCCTCGGAGCCATTCAGTAGCCTGTCTCAGCAGAGAGAGACTCCAGTCGGTCTCTGCGGAGCGTCTGTTCACCCCAGAGGAAGCGAGCTTCACCCGCAGACAGGGACACGGAACCCGCGCGGTCCACGGATCCTGACCAGCTTTCCAGTCTGGATCTCCGTCCCGGGAAACGGGAGGAAGAGCAGCCGCGCTCGGACCGCTGGAGTTACATAAGACCGGAGGAAGCGTCGCAGGGCCGCTGTGACTCATTGATAATAACTCAAGCTCTCCAGCTGATGCATGAATGAGCGCCAGTGGAGGAAACCTGCAGTGAAACCCGAGATCAGCATTAACCGTATCGAGGAGCTTCGGGTCTCTTCTGAAACACCGGGGGCTTCCGGAGGGCCCCTCGACCCGCGGAACGGACCCAAGAAATCCGCAGAAAGCTCCCCGCTTTCCCCCAGAAAGAAAGGAACGTCCCGGACCTGCTCATAAATGCTTGACAAGCTCAAGCCCGTCGTCCAGCTCGACTCGGTCATGGCGATCAGCAAGACGGTGGGCTGGCTCCGAGAGCAGCTTGAGGCGAGCAGGGACGGCCTGCTGGTCATGGACTGCCGGGCCCAGGAGCTCTACGAGTCGTCACACGTCGAGACCGCGATCAACGTGGCCATACCGAGCCTGATGCTGCGCCGGCTTAAGAAGGGCAACCTGCCCGTGCGCTCGCTGCTGTCCGACGGGGAGGACCGGGAGAGGTTCGTGCGCCGCTGCAAGACCGACACCATCGTTCTGTACGACGAGTACAGCCGGGAGTGGAACGAGAACGTGGACGGAGGCTCGGTGTTGGGTCTACTGTTGAGGAAGATGAAGGATGAAGGCTACAAGGCCTTTTATCTGGAGGGTGAGTCCGCGCCATTCACACTTCCAGCTCCCTGCTTCATTCATGCGTTTGTTTTTATTTCTGCAAATTTGAGATGAGAAGTTGCGCATTAATCTGGAGTTTTCTTATCAACTCCAAGAAAAACGTGATTTATTTCATCGACTTTCTCCAGACCTTTGCGTTATGTTCCTGCTGTTTGAGTTTGGCGCAGTCCTGCTCACGTGAGCTCTGCTTTCCTCTGCAGGAGGCTTCAACAAGTTCCAGTCAGAGCACCCATCTCTGTGTGAGACCAACTTGGATGGCTCCCCCAACAGCAGCAGCTCCCCCACCGCCCAGGTTCTGGGCCTGGGCGGCCTGCGCATCAGCTCCGACTCATCGGACATCGAATCCGACATCGACCGGGACCCGAGCAGCGCTACCACGGACTCGGACGGCAGCCCGCTGCTGTCCAACCCGCAGCCGTCCTTCCCGGTGGAGATCCTGCCGCACCTCTACCTGGGCTGCGCCAAGGACTCTACCAACCTGGACGTGCTGGAGGAGTACGGCATCAAGTACATCCTCAACGTGACCCCCAACCTGCCCAACCTGTTCGAGAACGCTGGGGAGTTTAAATACAAGCAGATCCCCATCTCGGACCACTGGAGCCAGAACCTGTCGCAGTTCTTCCCGGAGGCCATCAGCTTTATTGGTGAGTAATCCCGCTGCAAGCCGTTGACCCCGGACATCTGGCTCCTGGCTTGTTTACGTTCGCTTTTGTAGCTGCTGATCTCCGAATAAGAAAATGTTAGTCTCATACCACCAAGTTTATTCAGGAAATAGAATCTTGTAATTTAACACACATCCAAATAAAATACTGCTGCTTTATAATGAAGTTGAATCTGAATGTTAATTGAAGCAGTTTAATTAAAAGTAGCACATTGATTAGAAAAGTCTTACCATAAAAGGCACTCTGAGACCACATATATGAGATTTCTACACTCTGCTTTTGAAAGGATCATTCTGCCTAATGGCCTTAAAACTACCTCATTTATATATACATAGTTTTGGTTTCTAAGTAATATTATTGTGATATCCCTTATCTCCGCCTGGAAGTTCTTAGGTTCTTATTGTGCAGTAAGTTTAGATGAGGTGTCCCCGGATGTGGTCTTATCAGTCAATCAGGCAGGGACACAGGGCAGCCAGATTAAGGCCATTGTGTGGCAGCACAAGAACACAGGTCTGCCTCTAATGGCGCTCTGGCTAAAATGCACTGTGTACAAATGATTTGACTTCAATGGAAGACATCCTGGCCTATCTGTTGTCCCGGGGCTTGTGTAATTGCAGTACAAAGGGCGACGTTGAAACGGGAGAACAGGGGATGTAGACAGAGCGACGGGAGGGCTGTAATTTGAGCGCAACAGGAAGGAAGTGGCATTGAAAGTAATCTAGGACATGGTATTGCCAACCCCGCCCCCTCCCTCTCGTCTTCCTCCCTCCACATAACAAAGGAGCCATTTACAGGGCCTGTTGACATCCTGTTTGCCTTCACAGGGTGCCCTCATGACTCCTACATTTACACGCTCAAATGACACCATTGTCAGACTAGCCCTAGCCAGCGGAAGAATGGTTTAATAGACTGTGATAGTCAATTTCCCAGCTGGCTATTCTAGGCCAAGACAAAAATTACAGAAGAATGTCGACTCTGTTTATGTGCATTAGCTCCTGTTTGTTGACAGACACGGCAGGGAGATAGTCGGGATAAAAACTTCCGCTTTTCTCCATCCTTGGGCTCATTCCAACTTCCAGTTTAGCTCTAATCCTGCAGATGTTTGTCACAAGTTTTTATTCTGTTCTGTTTAAACGACGACAACACCGTTTTGCTTTTCATCTGCGAGTAAAAAAACAAACAAACTACTTTTTAACTTTTTCATCTACTCACATAAAAAGTGAAAAGTGTTCTTTGTTAAAACCTACGTGGGTTACCGTTTCCCTCCTCAGAAAGGTGAAGAGTATCGAGCTTTTAAACAGTTTGACTCTCGGCTCTGTTTATCTGAACTGACAAAGTTCCTCGGATGAGAAGGGAACACTCTTTAAGACAACAGAGACATAGCTTTTTGAAACAACTGTGAGAAGTAACATTTCCACTCTTTGCTTGTTTCCGCCAGATGAAGCTCGAGGTCAGAAGTGCGGGGTCCTAGTGCACTGCTTGGCTGGTATCAGTCGCTCTGTGACGGTGACTGTGGCCTACCTGATGCAGAAACTCAACCTGTCCATGAACGATGCTTACGACATTGTCAAGATGAAAAAGTCCAACATCTCCCCCAACTTCAACTTCATGGGCCAGCTCCTGGACTTTGAGCGTACACTGGGCCTGAAGAGTCCATGTGACAACCGTGTGGCGCCCCCTAGCCAGCAGCTGTACTTCACCACCCCAACCAACCACAACGTCTTCCAGCTGGACCCTCTGCAGTCCACGTGAGACCTGCTCTCAGCAGCCCCCTTCTTGCTGGTGGTTCAGGGAGGCCTCTTGCAGAAAAAGTTGCAAAAGTTTATTTTTTCCACCATCTGATGTGCGACATGGCTCTTAACGATACTAATACAGCTGGTTTTTGGGGCGACAGCTGCTCTGCGTGGTTCCTGGAGGGTCGAGGCAGTCGGGCCAATTCGCAGCTCTGCTTTCTAAATGAGGAGGGACAGTAAACCCTACCGACAGAACAGAGTGCAGAAACGTTCTACAATCATGTTTCAGTCTCACTCTCCTCTCAGTTTGTTCTCATTGTGTCTGAGGAAACCTTAAACGGTTCGTTAGACAGCTGTATTTTGTGCTCCGAAGTTCCTAGGCTGGTGTGCCAAAGAGACACGATTGTTCAAATTGGACAGAGAAATTCTTTTGTATGTTCGTTTTGGGGTCTTCTGTGAAGACTTGCCTGTGTGTGATCCAAGCACCCGGCTTTAGAAGGCACACCATATACTGGACTAACTTTTACACTCACAAAGTCTTTTCAAATGTTTCCACTGTACATTGTGTAAATAATCTTCGTAAACGAACAGTCCAAGCCTTGCTGTAGTACACCTACCCTTTGGAAGTGAGTCTGAGGACTCTGTTTCGTACTCTACTTTTATGTAAGTATACCACACATTGATCCTACAGTTGATTATGCCAAAAATCTCTAGGCTTTCCAAGAATCGTGCAAAAATGTGTACACGTGTATTATATATCGAATATTTGCTTTATGGAAGACTTCAGCCAACCAGCCTTTTTTTTTTTTTTTGCCCTTGCCCTCTCATAGATCTGGTTGTTTGCCTTACTTGTGGTCACAGGGTTTCACCTTATCCTTCAGAGAAGTTCACACTGCTCTTAGAACAAACATCCCAGCTCATGTTTTTTTTAGCTCACAAGCAAAAACAGTCTAGTCTGGATCAAGTTTTTTTGTTTTTAATCTGAAGGTTAATGTGGGTAATCCTGCTCTGAGCTGGAGGATTAAAACTGGCATGTGGACAACGCTGGGAGCTCTGCTTGCCACGTCTCTTCAGGGAAAACTCTTTGAAATGCAGTTATTATTTGTTAGAAATGAGATGAACTGAATTCAGAGCTTTGAAGAATTGTTACTCCCCCACGCCCTGCACAAAACCCTTTTCTAGCGGGAAGCCATTTAGGTGACCTCTGCTTGCCTCCTCCTCCTCTTACGAATGTAAAGAAATATAAGTTATTAATAAATTGCTATTTTGTCTACAGTTTCTGTTTCTTCTGCCTGCATTTCTTCCATCGACACTTTGTTGGTGTTTTGTCTGCTTCCACAGTAACACATTTATGTAAGTGTTTCCTCACAGCTGAGTGGTGACCAGCAAGCCCAGTCACGACAACAGAAACAGTTGCCATGAATCACGAGGCTCCTCACCGAGCTATCATCTTCCTTTAACTACAGCGCCCCGCACGTTTGGTTCTTCAGCCTGGCACTAGCATGTCTGGGTCACGTGACACTTGTGTAACAGAAGCACTGTGGACACACTGTTCTTCATGAAAAATACAAACTACAGGAAGCTCTCAACAGGTGCAAAATAATCGGAGTCATACGGTAAATGCCTTAGCTGGTTTTCCAGATTCTGGTCCAAATCAGCACCAACACCTGCCAGTTACCCCCATGAGGGCAGGTCCTACACATGAAGTCTTCAAAGGAAGCAGAAAGTACTCAGATGTGGTTGGTATTTGATGGCAATAGCAGTGTCATGTAACTGCTGTGACCCCGAAGCTTAGCATAAGGTGATCCTCACAGTGCAGGTGAGGAGAGGAGAGCTTAGTCTTCTCACGCAAACAGCTGCATGGTTGAGTTGCACATGCTCTGCATTCCCAAACATCAAATATGTGAGAAACCAGTTTCTCAGGAATTTATTGCAACTCATTCCCTCATAATGCTGGTTTAAGACAGTGACCAGAGCTTTCAGGTCGAGCTTCTGAAAGGTGTGAATAAACGTTAGACAAACTGCTCAGAATTGGAGATGGTAAAACAGCAAAACAATTAATAACAGGGGATTTATAGTGAACCTTTGTTTGAATCCCAAACAAAATCCATACATTTTTATCTCCATGCATTTTGGACAGAATTAGTACCAGACAGAAAATTCATACAAGCAGTACGACTAGGAAGAGAAGCCACAACATTTCCATAGTGAAAAAAGTTTATATTCAAACATTGACGTGAGAAACACGTTGAAAAGGGTGCAGGATAGACTAGTAAATATAGAAAATCCAGAAAAAAGGCATAGGGTTTAAATCCCAGGATGTGGAACTTGGCATACAGCTCCACAAAATTAGTAAATCATTGGCCAGTCTGCACCGTCATATCCTGACAAAAATGGCTTTAGGTTTCCACGGAGCCAGTTCTGTTTAGCTGTCTGATCGACCACCTTAAGGTCATCTTTTCCATTTACCGGACTGACACCATGTCACAGCAGAGCTCACACAGCATGAGCATTTTTGTTCTAACCAGATTTAGAGTGTTTTTATTTTAGTTAGCGTTGTTACTATGTTATGTTTCCAATAACTATAGAATTAAACATACAAATGCAGAATTTACAGACATTTCACTTGTGTTCATATTATGGTTGTGGGACTTTTGTAAAAACTTATAAGTTTTATTTCTCCAGTCAAACACAGATTTGTTCTGGTCAGATCATGTGAGGTAGCCACAGGGTGAGACTAATTCAACTGTTAAAGAACCATTTAAAACAAAAATGTCAAAGTGGTTCATGCAAACTATCATTACTGTATATTGATTTACACAGCGTCAGTTTTGTGTCCGTGAACCACAAACTACAGCTCTGCTGCTTATTTTCACTACAAATATCCACAGAATGCAGCGATGTGGTTCAAAGTCGAGCAAGGCCTTCTCTGGGTCACTGACCTATATCTACAACTTGAAATATGTTTGCTCAATGAAATTGGCAGTGTGAGCATCCTGTCACTGTGTCCCAATTGATCATGCGCCCTGGCAACTTGGCCAAGGGGATGTCCCTTTGGCTGACTGGTTAGCGTGCATGACTTTCACAGGGAGTCTAGGGATCAAATCCCACCCGGGCCTTCGTGTCTCCACCTTGCCACACAAGAAACCTTGCCTTGATGTCTTGGTCCCATCCCAATTGCCTAGGAGATACATCATCAGGAATCATCAAGGCGTGTTCCAATGTTCATGTTCTACCGAGGCGTCTGTTCTCAGTTTGTTAGCTGCTTAGCTAGATAAGAAAGGATACACAGGAGGTGCCTTGTAGCCTGGCCTTGGTCAAAATATTCCCAGATTACAGCACAGTATTTTCAAAAAGATGGCAGATCAGAAGCTGGCAGCTAATTCGGTGGCAAATTTCAAGTTGAAATGTAAGTCAACTAATTGTAGCTATCGGGCTGATATCTAAAATGTTTTTCTGTATATCCAAAGTTATCTATGGTTGGTAAGTTGTTAGTAGTTGCAGCTTTGGTGGCTAGCAGGTAGTAACTCACTTACAATTTTAATTTAACCAATATATACACAATTTAAAATGTAAATGGCTCATTGTATATTCACATCGAAACTTATTCGCAACACAGAAGGCGTGGCCCTAAAAGCAGTCCAGGTTGGTGCACTGGGGGGTCAGATATCAGGAAGGCACCAAGGTCCAGCGGGCAGAAAGGAGTCAGAGAGCAGGCAGGGGTCAATAGCCAGGAGGTCCAGGTCTGTGAGGATTAGCAGGCAAAGGGCAGGAGTCCTGGGAGCAGAAAACCGGGTCAAAATATAGACGGACTTGGCTTGGTAAAGGCTGGATTTCGTCCGCAAGAGCTTCAGATAATCTGGCAATGGTTGGAGAGCAGGCTGGATCTTATATAGCAGGGGAGGCAGGTGTGTGGCATGAGCTTGATGAGGGGACCAGGTGACCTTCACGAGCGAGGCTGCGGTTCTGGTTCCCCCAGAGACATCATCCGATCACCTGCCCAGCTTCTCTGGACCGGTGGAGCCAGCCGTATAGTGGCTGGAATCGACACTCAAAGATGACAGGGAACCAGGCTTTGTTCCTACCACCAGCGTTTTGGCGCAAAAGCTCAACACTGACTTCCACCCTACGGGTTAAGACAACAGGGAAATGGACCTGCCAGTGCTCAGTAGCAGCTATGACCATTAGCAACAGAGAAAAGCTGCTTTTCGTTGAGGATTCCAAGTGAGGAAGACGGTTCTTGGTGGATTCCAGCTCCAAGAAAAGCCTTATTGCCTTACTGCCGCTGACAGACTAGCTCAAGGCTGCGGATCATTATTGACTGCAGCTAATGGATCCGCCATCAAAAGGAAAATGAATGAATAGAGACTTCAATAACACAACTGGACTAACTGGCGGCAACTAAAATGGTAAAACAAAATAAACTATTTAGCCAATATTACCACGAATCATGGAATCTCCTGCACACCAAATTAAACAAATCAGGGAACCCCTTGCACACACAAAAACATTACTGTTCAAATCAGGGAACCCCCTGCACACAAAAGACACACACTGGCTAAAATAGATTAAAACAAATAACGCCAAGGAGACAACAGGAAAGAGACTACATCTCAAGGCTGTTGCTCCCTGATGATGAGAGGTAGATGGTGGCTTTCATGCGGTGAGTTCTCATTCAGCTGATGATTGTCATTGCCCTAGCTGGGAGCTTCAGGTGTGGGAGGAGCCAAGTGCTTTAAAAAAAAACCTCACACAGGACCAGTGCTTAAATTGAGACGGATCTTGCCGGAACAAGATCCGGGAACTACTTTATTTTGAAAGGACCGTTCCAGCAACGGTCTGCTAGGATCCGGCAACTCACGCGACAAACTTGTGCTATACGCAGGATTCAAATTACAGGTGAGCTAAAGGGAGCTCCTGGAAGCCCTCAACACAACAGGGGGAGCCCAAAAACGATCCTGGTTCTACTTATATTACATTATCTATGTGGACTCTCCAGGGATTATTTTGAGCTGAGAGGCGCAGAGCTCTGATCGTTATTGCGCTCCAGACAGATGCGTCCTGAGCACGGCCACAGTAACATCCTCAAAGTGTTGCCACCTCAAAAACAAAATTAACACATGATCGTTTATGTCGGCTTATATTCTTTTGTGCTTTCGGTCTTTTATTTGTGCCTGATGCGTTTTGCTGCTGCGGAGCGCATCACCTGTTTCGTCCTCCGGTGACTTCACCGCACTGGTGCGGCCGGCGTGCACTCCGCTATATTTTGGGTCGGTAGATCCTTTAATTCAATTCAATTCAATTCAATTTTATTTATATAGCGCCAAATCATGACAAGAGTCGTCTCAAAGCACTTCACATAATAAACATTCCAATTCAGGTCAGTTCATTAAGCCAAGCAAAAAAGTTTCCTATATAAGGAACCCAGCAAATTGCATCAAGTCACTGACTAGTGTCAGTGACTTTACAGCAATCCTCATACTAAGCAAGCATATAGCGACAGTGGAGAGGAAAACTCCCTTTTAACAGGAAGAAACCTCCAGAGGATCCTGGCTCAGTATAAGCAGCCATCCTCCACGACTCACTGGGGATGGACAAGACAGAGCACACACACACACATACACACACACACGCACGCACGCACGCACACACACACACACACACACACCAAGCAATGTGTCCATGGTTACAGCGTGGTTGCTTAGTAAATATTCTATTTGGTGAGAGATAAACTTTTTTGTATTTATCCTAGTGAAAATATTGTTAAACAGGCAAACTAGCAGGAGCACATCCAACGTCAAGAAAACAAAAAGTTATTTTCAGGAGAGGGAGAATATTTTAGTGGTTAGCAGCAGTGTGCTAGACGATGGCCCCCTCCATGAGGCCACCACAGCTCAGCAGAACATCACCCTAGCTTACTCTGGGGGAGAAAAACACTTAGCAAGAAAATAAAGTTAACAGCTGAAATTACAGTAAATAATACAGTTAAAGAGCAGATTGTAGAAGAAAGTAGTAGAGTGTGAAAAGTGGTCAGTGTATCCTCCAGCAGTCTAAGCCTATAGCAGCATAACTACAGAGATAACTCTGGGTAACCTAGCCTTTTTAGATGGAGGCATGTTGGAGGCAGGGCAAGGGAGAGCCGTCTTTACCGACTGTACACTCCACCTCCCTCTACTCCCCCACTTGTCCAGATCTAGGCTTACATCAGATTTTAACCATAAGCCCTATCAAATAAAAATGTTTTGAGCCTATTCTTAAAAGTAGACAAGGTGTCT